TTTTTTTTTTTTTTTTTTTTTGATATCCAGGTATCTCAGCTTACACCAGACTAAATTTTGGACCTTCAAGACCCATCTCCCTAGAACCTTGGAGGGGGTAAATCGCGGGATATGTTTCAACTGGATCACAGGTTCCCCCCATGCCCCTATCATTAAAGATTGCAGTTACGAAAATGAGATATGGAATGTTTTATGATACAGTACTTTTGGAAATTATATTGGTTTATCTAGTAATTTCTGCTTTTATTTTAGTAATACAATAGTATTTGAACATTTTTATAACTGTAAGGTATATATGATTTTTTTCCCTATATATAAATTTCAACTAATACGTAGTGTTGTGGTTGTTAAAGATTTAAAGATACAATTTCTTTAAACCAGCACTAAATGTATCTAGCAATTGAATGAAAAAAGAACGGTGATGAAAAAAGACGTATGTAGCTGGGAACAGAAATACAATTTTGTTGACTATGTTAACGGTCAAAAAACTGATTTTTTGGCTTGAAAAATAAAAAATCAGAACCAAATGAGGGCTTAAACATGCCAAGAAATAGCTTTTTAATCTCGAAAGCAGTTTTTGACTTTTTAAAGTCTTATTAAATGGGCTCTTAATTTGTTGTTGAATTACGATTGATTATGTCAATGTTCAGTTAAGGGAAGGCCAAGAAAGAGGATGATCAACAATTTTAAATAATGTTATTCACAATCACTCACTACGACAGTCGTCCTACGTAATATACATATAACAGATGGTTATTTGATCAATGAATCAATAAAAAACTACAACATTAATGTATCAAATAATCATCTGACATATGTATGTGATATAGGACGACTGTCATGGTGAGTGACTATGAAGGGCATTATTCAAAAATTATAACCCACCTTTTATCACTTAAAAATGCATAAATGCTGCCGAAAGAAAAAGAAGAAGCTGACTTGAAAGTAGGGGAGAACATTCCAAGAAATTACAAAGAATTATTGAAGATATTTAGCTTCAAGAAAAAGCAAAAGCAATAGGAAACTTTCCATAATATTAATGCATGTTACTATTTCAGTGAATGAAGCAATAAATTAAAAAACAGCAGAAGAGTTGGACACGTCGCTTGACAGACTTCATGATAAAAATTTTAGCAAATTTAAAAGTTGATGAAATATATTGTGGGTTTCATTAATTTTGTGCTTAAATTAATTTTTGATATTGGTTCCAACGAAGTCACCGAAAGGTCAAGGAAGTTGGTGACCTGATGACAGGGGAGCCGGCGACCGAAGCCCTCCTCAATGTCCCGGCTATTCATGGAACGTGAGAATCATCTGCTTTCGGAAGAAATCGAAGAATTTCTTGGAAATCCTACAAGCCAAAATAAGTGATTTTTGCCCTTATAAAAAGAAAACGGATTCTTGAACCCCTTTCACGCTCATGTCACGTCAAGGTACTGCTTCTACCCAAGTCTGGCTGAGGAAGAGTTACGGGGTGTAATTCTCAATGTGAAAACATAGAGCCAGGGCTTTAACCTCAAATTTTTAACAAATTTTCAAGATATTCCAAACAAAGACTAAAAGAAATAGCAAACCAAAGAAAATAATAGTTTTCACTTGATATTTGTGTATGCACGCAACGAATTATAAACAAATAAATCTATTTAGTTCAATTTCACCATCACTCATTTATGAACATTATCAAACGTATTATGAAACTGAATCCAGCTGATTTTTTAATAAAACTGATTGAAAACTACAGTATATACATTAATAAACAAATCGTTTACCCTTAAAATTATTGCTAAAAGGATTCACCCCGTCAGCACTTTACAAAAATCATACTCTACATATTACCCATTAAATTCTTTTATTTTTTACTTATGGAATCAAAGACTAAAGTACGAGGTGGAGATAGTGTAAACACGTGTAGAATAGGGATGGATAGACGGGAAAAAAAATGAAAGAATAATAACTCAATCATTTTTTAGACTAATAATTGTTTGGTTATGGAAAATCAACACGCAAGGAATTCAAGCTTATCATTGTTAAAGAAATTATTTGGAGGAGGGAAATGGTCAACAAAGATAACTAAATTTAATCATTTTTCAAACTAATAATTGAAACTTTCTA